AAGACGGAGACAACGCATGTGGGTATCAAGTCCTCTTAATGCAATGTAAATAATAAAATTGTATGTAAATCAATGACGTTGCAGTTGATGCTCAAAACAGTAATGAACGAAAAAATCCATGAGTCGAGACCAGGGATGGTAAATGTTGAAGGCACTCGAAAAATTGAAATGCTTATTACCTATATTATATTTTAATTTATAATAAATAAAAAGACCATAATTTTTTTCAAATAATATAATATATATTATATTTCATAATTGAATGGCTCGCACAAAAAAATCAAAAAAATAAGGTAATCTTTGGAAAATAAAAATTTGCCATCCATGATCTACACATTATTAATCTATATTGTGCTCGTATCTGAAAATATTAGAACGTATTAGATTCTGAGCGGAACGATGAATGTATTATTTTACAATGTTGTGTATTTTTTTTGTGTCTGTATACAACACGAAAAGTAGTAGGAAAAATGCTTTATTTTTCAACTTTGATGGTGGTTTCTGATAGAATTTTCAAATTTGAACAAAATAAGATGTCAACTAAAATAATATGTTTTTATGCTGGATACACGTTTAAACGTTTTACATTCTGACCGATTCTACTACCTAAATAAGGTTTTCGTTGTTATGGTTACCTATTAACAAAAACATATTTATCATTCATAGATTTTTCTTGTAGAGGGAAAATATTGAGTGTTACCAACTTGTATTATTGGTTACAGACCGAACTATGTAACAGTACACCGTCATACATATAAAACGGTCCACCAATCAGGGCCCAGAACGGTAGCACAGCCCGGCGGAATGACTTTGCGCCCTCAGTACGAGGGTCCGGGGTTGTTCCACACTCTGGAATACAAGGGATCCAAAGGTGAGAACAGGACCCATCAAACAAAACCATCCCCATACCTAGAGCCCCAAAACTGTGCGGACGACACCACTTCCCGCACAGAACCTAAACACAACGACAGCGGCGGCAACACGGGAGTTTACTAGTCGGTACGGGGCCGGGTATATATACCGGACTTTTTCACCGCACCAATAATCAGTCTTCATTCAACCTTCTATCCAGTAACACTACAATACATAGAAGAAACGAAGAGCTGAACATCCGACGAAACCCGCTACCCGCCGACGACAATCGTGAGCCGGCCGTAATTCGCTTCCAGATCGAATTACCTAAGCCCGCCGTCAAACAACATTGCCGCCCGCCGTTGAACGCCAACACACGTGGCCCAGCGATCCGTGATCGACTGCTACCCGCCGACGACAACCGAGAGTCCGCCGCCACCAATCACACGCCGATCCAGAACGCAGCGAGGCAACGTGGACGACGACCCGCCAGCACGCCTGAAGGACCAGAAGACCAGCCGCCAACACCGACCCACCAATCAAGAGTCAACTAACCTCTTCGGTCCCCCCCTGGCCACTTGATTGAGTTGTGTCAAACCCCGGGTACGATATATCGCTGTAGCCGCTTCCAGCGAGTCACGCGCAACGATATATCGACCCCGTCCGTACGGTGATTGTAACACACCGATATTCCAAACATCTTCCATCTCTGTATATAGGACCAGGCTTCCGCCGGTCGCGCCGAGCTCTCATCGCGACGGTCCGTCTATTCAGGCCAGCCGTCGCACCCGTGAATCTCGCTACCCACATTTTTGTATATAAATAAATTTGTCAATAAATAAAGGATAAGACGTAATACTCAAACCTACGCATTCTTATTCCGGACGCCGGTCCGTAGTGACCGTGCCGTCTCAACTATAACTACTCATGAGGATTTTTCTTTTAATCGAAGAATAACGAATATTTTAGTTATTTTGTTGTGATTTAAAAATACGATTCTTGGGCGTTTAACACTTTTAAAGTATATTATTATATTTTATACACACTAATTATATGACATTTTTAAATTCAATGTTTTCGGCAAAAATTAATTCATCATACTGTATTACTATTTGTAAAATAAATTACTTTAATAGCAACGTAAATATATTATATAATCGGTCCATCTTCGCTCATAATCGTTTTTCGTAGGATATGTAATATCACTGAATAAAAATTCAACACATCCAATTTAGTGACCCACACTACACCTAATGTACACCGTACCTACTGGCCCACCTTTTTTTATTTGATTAGATCGATGTAAATCAATCACGTATAATAGTTTATTATAATTGGCCGTCATTATCAAACATTCAAAAAATACAGTAAAGAGTAAACTATACCGTAATATACGACTAATTGATTGACTTAAGTGCCTACAACAAACGAAAATACAAGTCAACGAACTTAAGTATTTGGTTAGGAACCTTCAGTAACCGTGATAAGATTTAGATTAGGATAAAAATATCATATTATATCTATTTATAAAAGTGAGCTACAATTCTACATGTATGACGTTAATTATAACCTACATATTCTATTTTAATGATAATGACGTTGAAGGTAAACTGTATGTTCGTTAAAAAACGGATTAGAAATAACGAAATGAAATTAATGATCTACGAAAGTCATATCGATAAAATATATTCAATATTATATTGATGGTACAAATCTTAGTTACCTATTCTCATGCAATTCAATATACATAATATTATCATATAATGAACTATTTCAATAAATATACGTATAGTACTAAAAAGGATATATTGTATTTAACAAAGTGGACATGGCTGAAGGTAAGCTGTACATTATATGTAATGACCAGGGCTCTTAAGTTCATGCATCTGCATGTTTTCTTTGCCACACAGGAAAACATGCTAACTGAGATACAATTCTGTTTCATAACTATAGTATAACCCTAGTACAAACCCTATACAAATAAGTAATTGTATATTATATTATATTATATTAAATTACATATATATATATATATTATATACATAGTATTCAAGTATTAAGCTATGAAAATTGCACGTCATACTACATTGATGGATATAATATATAATTTATAATTTAAATATCTGTCTGCAGGTAATTATTTTATAATACTTAAATGGTTTAAGAATTTCACTGTAAAACAAATAATATGTATCTAGGACTCCGTATGTCAGATATGAGCTTTACTCAGTTGGTATACGAATCAACTATCTTATTACTTTCTTTTACTATGTGTAATATGTTGCTGAAATAAATAAATAATTGGTATTGGGCCTTAAGTGAAATATTGTATAACAAAAAAATAGGTAGTTACAGCTTATTTGAAATAAGCAAACATTTATAAATTACATGTTGATAATATTACGCTGTTACTTCGTGTCGATTCTTGTTGTGGTGTAAATTGTTGGATAATATTAAGTATTGTATTCAGTTTCAGACACTGTTTCACGTTAAACGGTTTCATGACAAACGTATTGTTTGTGTTATCCGTCTTCACTGACCGAACGTGAAATACAAAACACCTATTTGTTTCCTAAACAGATTTATTTTGACTAGGCTTCTTCTCAATAAACGACGTGGATGGTTTTACTGATATTTGTAGCATATGTATTGATTGTAATACATAAAAACACCCTATAACAGGAAACGTGATAAATGATTTCGTGACTTATATGCATGGGTTCTATTTCCATTCAGTTGGTCAGTGTGGTCTGGTTCATTTTAAATAAACTCCTATAGATAATAATATAGTTATTGTTCTGAATTGATGTAGATACAATAATACCGTACTGGGTTAGAATTAAATCACAAGTAAAATTAACTTATATTGTGATTCGCTACATCACACTGTTCTAAGGTGATCATTATACTATAAATTATAGTCGATTTGTTATTTTCGACAGGTGAATTTATCATTGTGTTTGTCTTGACTCGTAAATTACGTTGTCAGTGCTATTTAAACTTTAAATTATATAATAAAACAACTTAACATTTGACAAATTGCATATCTGTACATTGATATACTAAATATACGCTAAATTGACCATATCTTATACTAGACTTACCGGTCTCAAATATGTATGATAATAAGTTGTTAACATAGTTTAAACTTGAACATAGTGACTTATAATATTAATATTATATAAGTGTATTTAATAATAAAATCGTATTGTAACACGGCGATATGGATAGGCAATTTAAGTACACTACTATCTTAGTGGGTACATTTTTCCAATTCCTCCCATTTTCCAGTATGATATTATTATTAAAAACGGATAAGTTAAAAAAAATCTTGAGAGACGTCGTTGTTTTTACTTATTTTTATTTGCCAGTTACATAATATTATTGCTCATTTTGCAAAAATGTATAATAAATATATCCACAACAAATACAAATAAGTTTTTATTTTAAAAAAAAAAAAAATTGAGATTCAGCAATAGTATATAAACAAATTTTGCTTGACAAGCAATTTTAAATTAATATATTTATATATACCTATTTATACATACAAATAAATACGTCAAGGCTAAAAACTCAAGCCCTGGACTGAAAAAGCTATACGTTATTACAAAAATAAGTTTCCATTAAAAATATATGTAGGTATATAATATAGTATAATATCTAAAATTATGACTTATTATTATTTTTATTATTATTATAAAACTAATAAAATTATATGAATCGATGAAAAAATAATGTAAAAAACAAAACAATACTAATAATAATATAAACAACAATGGCACAACGATAACAGTATATTGATGACGGTTACTATACCTAAATAATGGGGAGGGGGGTGTTTTTTGTTGGTCACGCCGGAAAGTCGGTATTTATCTGTAAAGTACGTTGGTGTAAAGTTCTGTAAGATGAGTAAAATACGGCAGCGTGGGGGAGGGATGAAAACTGGCCTAAAATGCTTAAACGACTATATTATCGTTATTCGATACTTCAAAAAATCAAAAACAAAAAAAAAACTCAAAAATACGATTAAAAAATAAATAAAATATCATACGTGGACAGATTGTAGAAGCGATTGTAGTAGTGATAACAATAATATATCGTGATATTATATAACAACGTGATAAATCGTGATGAACGGGCGGTGGCGGTCAGCCCAGCAGACCTCTGGTCTCGTCGGCGTAGCTGTTGCCGATTTGACTGCCGATGACCAGTTCGCTCTCCTTCCGGTTCCACGTGCCCAACCGATTCTTGTAGCTGCTGCACGCGATTATGCCGTCCATGCCGGGCGGCCGTTCCGGTGGCACAGGGCACGTGAGCGCTGAGGTCATGTGTCCGTTGTACCCTCCACCGTTCTCAGTCACGGACTTGACCAGCGGGTCCATCAGGTTGTCCAGACTGTGCACGTCCTTGGCCAGCCTGGGAGGCCGGGAGAATATCAAGAACAGCGCTACGGCCACACCCTGTGGAGAAGAAAAATTATTATAAAGAAAAAAAAACCATACATTATCGTAAATCAATTTACATATTATTATTATCTATTTTTACACAAATAAAATAATTATAGTACGATCGCAGTAAGATTGGTTAATTGGCGAAAACGAAAAAACGGCTCTGCAGAATGAAACCTAACCATTATTTTCGAAAATGACATATTTAGTTTTCTTCCAAATGTTTTTTTTTTTTTTTTTTTAATGAAATCAAGTCTAGGTACTATCTTCTAAATACGTCGTCCTCTTACGTTAATTCCTAAACGTGATAAAATGATATAGTGGAGGTACTATTGCAATAACCTTGTATATTTAAGCCATGATTTAAATATACTTTAGCCGGCAGCGACAGCCTCGACTGGTTTATACTGTATTGAATGTTATAAATAGTGCACTAATATTCAATTTACTCTTGTAACTTTGATTAATAATTAAATTTATCAATTTCGTTACATACAGGCTTAAGAGGCCTCTCTAACTGCCATAAATTTTAACTCAAAAGACCTTGAGTTTTGACAAAATTAAAGTTAGTTTAGGTTGTCCAACTTTGATTCTCGAAAAAAATTGAACTCTCCAGAAAATTGCCTATATTTTGTAAGGAACACTTAGTAAAAATTAAATCATATATTATTGTGAACTGCAATCAAAAACTTGAAAATTTGAGTTTTTCAAGTCATAATTTAAATTCAAATTCGTATTAAAAACGGGAAGTGTTTTGTACCATTTACAGACATTTTTCTGCTGAATTCAAATATTTTTTAACTATCTATAATTTTGTCAAAACAATAAATAAGCTGTCGTAAGATTCATACAGTGAATTTTATATTGTTATCAAGTATTGAAATGTGCATTGTGCATGCGTGTATATGAGTGGTACCTGCATTGAATTTCACTCACACTAATAATCATTTACAACTATCTAACTCATAGATCACGGGCGGCTAAGACGTGATTAAAAATTGCCTAATTGTTACCCCTTAAATAAAAGCCGTAGCGAGGCGCGCCTGCCTTTACCAACAACAATTTTATAAAACTCAAGTTTTAAAAATAATTATTTAAAAAAAAAATAAATTATAGATTAGAACAAATAGTCAAATGTTTGTGGTGCACCCATGTATTTGTACTTATTAACTTCTGATAGTTAAATTTTGTTTTCTTTAAGGGACCTCACCACCACGTCTTTTTTTGTCAAAAACTACTGTTTCTAATTCCAACGTAACGTGTAGACAATTATCACAATTTTCATTCTGAAAAATATTCGGATTGTCCGTAATATATACAAGGGAACGATTGAGCCACATTTTATATCACATCTCATAGTTTTTCGTGAGTTGAAAAAAAATGCAGTTGTGAGCTATCCTTTAGCTACCTATAGAAATTGAGAAAATGTTATAAGACATTCTCCGTGATATACTCTATCATTAAAAAAAACTGTATGACTAAGTATCGGATGAGTGGCTCCCAAGATCATTGGCATCAAAGATTCTCATTTTCACATTTATATATAGAATCAACCAAGTACTTATTATACTCAGACAATTTTTACAAACTATAAAATGCTAATAGAATTATATTAAATTCGACAATTGTTTGATGATCATAGCACTAATATAATATTTTAACCCTATAGTACCATGAGCTACTATTCTAAGAACACAAAGTTCAATAACTCAGAAAACTACTGGTTACTATTTAAAAATGTCCGAAAAAAAATTATCTGCTATCAATAGAAATAGAAGTTTTTGATTAAAAAAAAAAACTGGTAAGTGGATGTCACTCAGCTGTACATTAGGTTACAAGTGGGTCAATGTATAATGGATTGTATTAAACTTGAATTCAATGATATAATATCACTGTATAAGAAAAACGATTTTAAGAGGAGACGGTTTGTCAAACTGGATATTTTATATTGTTCTTATTTATTATAGCATGTAAGTTGAATTAATATTATAAATTATAATGTCATAATATTATTATTATTTTTTATTCGTTTCTATGATGATAAACAATTAGAATAAACGTTAGAAATTAAAATCCTGTTTTTAGCAGTTATTCTGTAATTTGTTGGTGGTTTTTCCAGTCGCATTAAATATTGAGAAAATCAAAAAATTATCTCTCTAAAGTACCATTTATGCATATTGATCCATTTTGCCAAAAAATAAGATACTATATTATGTTGAAATCAAAGCACTCTTTCTGGTAGAAATTTCGCATACAGGATACAAAAAAAAAAAAATCAAAAAAAAATGAAAACCATTATAAAACCCCTATAGCTTCCTCGCTCTGCTCAGAATGTAAAAATATGTTTGTATCGAGACAATCATTAAAAAAAAAAAAATAGTTTAATAAACGTCTAAGTATTTGAAAAAGTTGTATCTGAGTATATTTCAAAATTACAGAAATTAGAATAACATGAATAAATGCAATATTAAAGGACTAAAAGGGATGAGCTGGATTTCAGATGAATCACACTGTATACACGTTAACAACTCCGTTCTGTAATCATATCGATGTACGCTACTCTCGAACTTTTATTTGATCATTTTAAAAATCGAGATTTATATCGACGTTTGGCGGATGACTGCGCCTTCAAACAGTATCGTCGTGTGGCCGTTGTTGTCACTTGTTCGTAAATTAGTGCGTCAGTGTGAACTGGGTACCATTTATTATTATTATATATTATATAGTTAGATTATTAAATTTTCTTACGACGCACCATCAATCGAGCTGCATTAAGCCATGCTACAGGTTTGGTTTCTCGAGGCAAAGTATTTAATATAAGACGGTTGTTTATTAAATCATAACAAAATGCTTTTATCACCCAAAGGCCAGAACCAAGCGCTTTCCGGTGTCTGTTCTTTTGGTATCCGGGCAAGAGAAAAACAGTTGATAAACCTATTTATTAGTCTAACGAGAGTGTCTGAGGTTATAACTTATAAATCATAAAATATACGATTCTTATTGCCGGATTGAAATCGATAAAAACGGATGCAAATTCCTTGGCCTTGAGTGCAAAAAATCAATTTCCTATTTTATTTATCTAAATATTCTATCATAATGCCAGGTAATAAAATAATCAGCTATTTTTTTTTTGTACTCGTACAGAAAGTAATAATACCATTGTACAAATTGTATGTAAAATATATTGTTATTCGTATTGGTTATTAGTAAGGTTTATAATATAACTTTGTGATAAAAGCCACTTGCTTAAGTCATTTTATTTAGTTGTTATTTACAATATTTTTTTTTTATCTCTTAAACGGAATAAACACTTGATTAATTTATTTGGTACCTGGTTTATGGTTATAATAGTCAATCACCAATCACCCAACAGTCTTATACTAATAATTGCTATAATAGTGTACATTTGAATGGCCATAAGTCCGATAGGTAACTTACTCGCCCTTGGCATAATCTTATCAATATTCATATTTAATTCACAATACACAAGTTTAAAAAAAATCGGTTTCAACTTTCAATAGTGGGTATTAAATTTAATCGACGTTAATGACCGTTTAATAACTTATGATTTCGAATAATAGTTTAATAAATACAACTAAGAAAACTGATAGTGTTTTAAATTTAATTAACAAAACTATTTATAAACAAAAATACATGAATGGCTGTAAGTTTGTAAATAAATTTTATCAAGAGTATAAGAAGATTTTCAAATATTATCGTTTTTTTTTAAATGTATATTACCAGGTTATTTATAAAGTTAAAAATCTGAAATTGATCAGTATCTATTTTCGATAACATAAATCAACAAATTGAAAAATATTTCTTCAGTTTTTTCACTGATTAATACAATATTACGAAGAGTATTTTCTATTTAGATTTAGTTTTCGTTGTATTGTTGAAAGTTTTTAGTCAAAAGTTTGAGTAAACCGTAAAGTCATAAATTTGATCCTCGATAACTGCGTCTATTGAGATTTTACATATTTACATAGTATCTACTAATATATTTTATCCTTCATTGTGTTTTTTCATTATCAATCACAGAATCCTTGTTAAGAACGTTTTCCTTAATTTTTCAAGATTAAAATTAATGTTACTCATCATCTGGATCGTTAATGTAAATCATACATAAATGTAAGACCTAGATTTCCGTTTATTTGTACATATTTTGACTTATAAGTATGTGACAAAAAAATAATTTGGATAACAAAAAATATCTACTATATTTTCTTTTATACCTAACCTAATACATACCTTATAAGTTATAACTTATACATATTATAATGAAAATAACTCACGTTAAATATTTTTATTTTTTTACTCACCACAACAGCAGATAAGACGATAACAAATAAAGTAGCTGCACCGAATCCTACTATATCGTACAGCACACCAGCAATGGAAGGACCGATAAAAGCTCCGAGTGCAAAAGTGGAAGTCCAAAGTCCCGATATCAGACCGTAAGTTTCAAGGTTATTGGCAAACCCGTGTTGACTGGAAAATCATACAAATTGTAATTTTTACAACACAAAAACAAAATAAAACAATCAACAGGAATCATTTTAATTTTTAACTCATTCAATAAGATATTAATATTGAATTTAATGCTGGTTAATTTAATAATGTATTATATCAGTGTTGATTATTAAAACACCCAAAAACTGTCAGTAGGTACCTATTCAGCAAAATGTCTTATATATGTTTCCAATTTTATGCATCTCATATTATTATCATTAAAGTTCGTGCGGAACCAACCGTTGTTTTATAACGGTGTGAGATTTTTTTGGATCAAAAAATTCTATAGAATTGAACATAATTGTTTTGAAACCCTCTCTCGCTGTTATTGACTTTTATTGACATTTGATGCATATACAAACATTAAGTTAAATGAGCATGTAAATCAATAATTTTAATGTCATATTCAATTCAAAAGTAACGGATGACTTATGAGATTTGTTTCATGATTACTGAGAAAAAATCTCCATAAGCACTTACATGGCGGTCCGCAGAGCGTCGGTGAACGATGCAACAAGTTGTGCGCCAATTCCCATTCCGTGCATCACCAGACCTAGTATGGTGACGGAGAATTTTCTGGAAATTTTCACAAACACAGTAAACGTTAATTATTTTTCAAATTCAATAGTATTATAACATCAGTGATAAACTGATAACCAAATATCTGTCACAAACATTTTTTTCTTTTAAAAAATCACTCTCATATTACAGTGAACACCCGCTGTACACTTACGTCGGTCCTCCGATGAACGGTACCGGGCCGATAAGACTGAATCCGATCATGAGTATGATGCAACCCAGCAACGTGACGACCTTGGCGGGCACCACTTTGTCGCATAGCCAACCCCACCAGGGCGCCGTCAATGCATAAGTTCCACCGTTTATAACGAACATCAGCCCCAAGACCATTGGAGACAAATTAAACTGGAAAAAAACAGAAATAAATTAAAACAGAAATAACAGTGATGTAATATTGTGACAGCGGTCATACTTGTCTGAGATGTGGTTCCAAGGTGGCCGACAAGAACCCAATGCTCATAGACGTCACGATAATACTAGCGGCCGCTAACATTATACCAGGAATTTTCAATACTTTCAACAGACTAGCTGTAAAATGCGTGTATAGTTCAGTCTTTAAAACACATTTTAATCAAATTTCTATCTTAAAAACAAAATTATAATATTCTAGTACCCCACACCCAATCGCCCAAATATTGTGACGAAGATTTTGTATATTTAAAATATTCAAAAAATATAAATGGTAAAAACCAATATAAATCTAATTCAATTGACGAGTAAATAATTTCAAAAAAATAATATTCCTAAAACATTAAATAATTAAATCTTCTGTCATAATATAATTTATAATTTATTTAAGTATTATTTAACATAACATAATCAACTCGTATAGTTGCAGTACATGATATGTCTCTTTTAGCTATTATTGTCATGTTTCGTCAACATTGTTAGGTATTCGAATAAATTTATTATTCTCACTATTTATGACCACGTTAATTATCACACAAAACTTGATATTATACTAAAAATTGTATAAAGTTTAAAAGAGATTTAAACTTTATATAACGATAAAAATATTCTTTAAACCAAAAATTACCATCACTAGTAACGTCATTTCTACGATTCGGGTGGTCGGGTAATACAAACGCAGTCATGACAGCCGAAAGGAATAGCGTAGAACCCAAAACTAAAAATGGAGTTACAAAGCCTCCGACCTGTGGAGAAAACAAATTTGTTAGTATGAGTATTAATATAATTGTATAACATTATAAATATTGTATTCTAACTTGATACAAAGCTCCGCCAACGGTTGGTCCAACAATCAGCCCAAGTCCGAAAAATGTCTCAAGAGAAGCCTAAAATTATTACATATATACATTACAAATATTATTATACACGTATTTAAATCTATACAATTAATTTCAATATTTTGTTTCTTACAAATGTGGTGGCCACGTTGTCCGGAAACTCCATAGCAATGATGGCAAAACTGGCTGTCAAAAATGCCGCATTTCCCATCGCTTCGACGATACGTATGACGAATGATAATATGATGAATGGGTAATGACCTTCCACCCTGTCCAAAAATCTGGTACCAAACAGTAAAAAATAAGCCCCGATTTTAATGAATCCATTAGATTTGACGTCATCAAATTCAGATTATTGATTTAATGCCACGAAATACGAATAATTAATCGAATAATATGCACAAACAATAAACACGCGTACATTAAAGAACCATGGACTAAGCTTTTATAAAATAAAATATACAATTATGTTTTATACTATTCTATCTTATTAATTGATCATAAACTAATAACAATAATAATTGTTAATACATTTAATAGTCATTAATAGTTTAAACATTCATTTTATATCTCGTATTCTCGGCTCTCGTATAAATATAGCTACTTTAAAGAAAATGCATGTTAAAACGTTCGCTTAAATAATCTTAATACTAAAAATCAAATGTGTGAAATCTTAGCTCTAACAAGTTTTATTTATGTTTTTAAATTTAAAAAAACAGTTGATCTGCTATATTATAGGACGTATAGGTATAAATTATTTGTATTTTTAGTCACTGTAATGGATGTGATGAATAATGACCGACAAGTCAATCTATAACTTTGAGTGACCATTAATCTTTTTTTAAATAGGAGTACGCTAACTAGGCCACTACTTCACTATTTTTACGAATTTCCTTATACTTGTTGAGGAATAATTATTTTTCACTTAATATTAATATAATTATTATTATAATTTTTAATTTGTATGTATGATGTTTTATTTATTTTAATTTAGTTTAATAATGTATTGTATGGCTTTGATGAATCAATAAATTTGTGACTTATATTAAATCGAATTTATTTAAGTTATAAATGATAAATTATTTTGATTAAGTTATAAATATATGGCCCAATTGTCGGTACCCTTTTAAACATTTGATATTTTTGTTAGGCCCATTCACGGGGTACTAAAATATAAAAAAAAAATTTGTATACGAAACAGGTAAATAAACCGTGGCACAATTGCCGATCGCCAATAATTTTATAATGCTGGTAATACGGCAAGTTGAACTAATTCTTGCCAAAAACAAATCGCTTAATATTAATAATATTATTTTGTTATATGATTTCATAATATATTAATACTACTAGCTGTTATTTATTCCCTTGTAAGTCAATAATAACGTACAGTAGAACAATGTGAATAGTTTCGTGATATATATAGCATAAAATTAATTGAAATTGTTTACTAAAAAACGATGACTATATTATTTTCAATATTTTTTATCAATCTTAGAACAACATCATTTTATAAGGGACTTTGTATTCAATTTTCAATTATTGTTACTTTAAACACAATGTTATTACAATTACATACATAAATCAAAAAAAAATATTTTTAAATATCTATAAATATCTAAAGTCGAAATATTTTGAATTAGATACCTACGTGTACAGAAAATGTTAATATAAATATTTGGTAAACATTACAAGTCTTAATAATTATTCAACTTTCAATTACAACCAATAAAATTTGGACAAAAATTGGTTTTAACTATCAGTAAGGTTCAATTTTTCACCAACCACCATCAAAGTTTATAATTAAATCATTTATATTGCTTCCTATTAAAGGTGATAAAAGCAAGCCCGTATTCAAGGGGAAGTGGGTGGCGCCGTGGCGGGCATCTCATTATCTCCGAAATATTGTTTTTTTAATACGTTGAAAACGAAAAATTATACTTATAATTATAATTAGAGTAAATATACTCTTTTCAGAATAAGAACCCACCAGATTTACGTAACAAAACCGGTTTTGTCCGTGGCCGCCTGGTTCATTCTTATTCTGAAAAGAGTATAGTAATTATAAAATAAAAATGTTCTTAATTTTATATCACAAAAAAATACTAAATTATAATAATTAATATTAAATTGTTATAAATAATTGATTTATAATCACTAATTCTAAATATATTAATTGATAACAATATAATAAAAAAATTAATAAAATGGGAGTTGTGAACGGAATTGTACACATAGATGATAGTCTGATAGTCTTTATTATCTATTTAGACTTTATCAATAATTGTATGTGCCATGTGGTAATAAAGTACAAAATTATACAATTACGAGTGTAACAGTAGTAAAAATTAAATGATAAAATTTTATTGAAGTTAAAGTTGTAAGGGTACAGAGATGTAACGCTCAAATCTTTCAAAATTTTTCAAGTGAAACTTTCATACAAATTGGAAAGTTTCAAAGTTTTGAAACTTTTCATTGTCTGCCAAAGAATGATTAATACTATTATTGAAGTATTAATTTTATTTTAATAAATAAATCAATAGCAGCTAATCAATCACTATTATATCATTTGGTAAGGTGATGGAGATGTAAAAAAAAAAAAAACAATTTTAATTGTGGAATAGGTATGCAAATCAAATTAAATATCTAAATATATCAGTAATCTCATAGATTTAAATTTAAATAAAAATAAAAAAAAAAATAAAATTATTGTTAATACATGCAGAAAAAAAAGTTTCAATTTTTTTTGAAAAGTTTCATCGGGCCTGTAAAAACATGACATTTTACATTTTTAAAAGGGGGCCAAATAAGTGTATGGTGTCCCGGGGCCTCGTTATCCTTAATCCGGGCTTGGATGAAAGACTCAACATTTATTTTAAAATACATAAATATAAAACTAAATGTCTAAATACTAATAGATTCGTCGTTACACTCAAAATTGTACTATTCAACATAATCGAGAAAACAATAAAATGTTTTTGTGTCTCAAAAATCAACTGAATTTAGTGCCATAGCCATCAACACCAAATTATTTGAAATAATTGAATGATGTTTTAAAAAAAAACAGATGATGAAAATTCAGATTCTATTATTCTAACATGTAAAAAACAAAATTGATAAAATTGTTTATAGATTGTTTAGTTTATAAAATGTACCTTCAATTGTTTTTTTCATGTATTAGAATCAGAATTTTCATCAGCCGATTTCTTTATAACATCATTTAAATATTTCAAATCGTTTGGTGTTGGTGGCTGAGGCCCTAAAGTCAGTTGATTTTTGAGGCACCTCCCCCCTCCCCCCACCGAGACGGTCTACGAATTAACTGGTTTTTCTAACGTATTCAGCCGGGTTCTATTAGCTATACAAATTTCAGGAAAGTTAAGATAGGTGAGGTCAAACCGTCAGTAACTCCTAGACTATATTATACACTATGAACATTTTATGCTATTTATAGATACCACGAACCTGTTTACAACGTTCTACGTCGGTACTCATTGACTTTATAAGTTAGATAATAACAATAATATGTTATTAATTATTATATGATAGTATGATATAATAATAAATGCGATATTTGTAGCAAAATTCGGTTCTACCTACCATATAACTATTGTTATAAACGTAAAATAAATAAATTATAAAATGTCCTTAAAAATAGAGGCTGATACACATACATACAACATTTTCCAAGGTATTATTGGTATATATCACGGACTAAGATATAATGGACTGCAGTGGCGCCGAAGTTTTTAAAATGTGGTACGGCAATTTTAAAACTTCCCGGCCTCAATATCTTAATTAATTAATATAGAGGTACCCTAATGTAAATTTATTCATAATCACGGTTTAAATTTACTCATGCTTATAATAAAGTTATGATGTAAATTAAATATGGCCGGCCTGCCACATTTTTCGAAAAAGAGGTCGGGCCACGGCCCGACGTCAGCATGGACTTCGGCGCCACTGATGGACTGGAAAGGAGCTGCTTATCAGTGGCCTCGAAAGTATGTACAAGAAGCAAATGCGGGGGGTCGCAACTATAATCGAGAGTTTACAGCGCCACCTGTATAAATCTCAGATACAAAATGTGACGCTAAATAAAACCTTTTGCGGGCCGTCTCCCGTCACCCGCCCTCCTTGTCGTTTCCCATACATTATATCTTATTCCGTGGTATAAATTATATTTATTATAGGTGACTGTAATAATTGTTTTCTTACCCAAATAAAATTGCACATACTCCTGTCGTGAATATTCCTCCATTGAACAGATATTTGGGTCCGATCCTATTCAACTAAAACGTTTACAATTTTTTTTTTTTAAATATGCAATATTTAAAACTTTATTTAACTTACGTGTTTTCCATAAACGGGACTGATTAAAAACACGACCAGTTCAAAAATACCGAATACCAAACCATATTCGGTTGCAGTGGCTCCTTTCTTTTCAGCCTAAAGTTAATAAAAAATTGAACAAATTTTTCATAAATATATAATATTATTGTTATACGTATTGATCAATTTCATTTTAATATTTTTAAAGAAGTTTTAATTAAAACATTAGCAGTTCCGAATTCGGAATTCCTATGTAACTTAAAAAAAAATATTTTATCTATAACAAAATACGCACTTAAAAATATGTATAAACATAATGCATAATATTATAATATAGTGTTTATAAGTATTATTAAATTTTATATGTGTTATGCATATAAATTATATTTACGTTAGTGCAGAGTCGTGTATGTTTTTATGTAAACATGACTTTTAAGTTTTATGGAATTAAATAGTCGTTCACTTTTCTTATGCTATGAAATAAATAATATATTAAATACATTTAATGATTATTAGAAATTTAGACTACATCATGATCTAATTATCATATTAACCAATGCGGAATGCGTAAATGTAGTATCTGTCTATTAAAAATTCTAGAAATTAAAATCAATTAACCATGCAATACTGTAATCGTAAATTCCAAATTAGACGCATAGACTTCTGTAATATTTACAAACAAAATACTAAATAGTGTCGAGGTTACCAGTAATCGAAAAAACCAACATGTTATGAAAACTTTGGACTTGAGAGTAGCATAATATAATAGTGTAGGCTTTTATTTAGGTCGAGATTGTAAATCGGAACACTCTTCACATATGCGTGCTTTTATTTATACTTTATCCGTTTATTTGTAGGACAATGGCTACGTGACCTACCTATTATATATTAATAATAATAATATATAATATTATATATTAATAATATATAAAATCACGCGAAGGAGTGCCGGCCCAATTTCTTTGCGACTATGACCAAGAGCTTATCAAAATATGAAACAAATCTTGACACACCTATAAAAATTGTGGCCAAAAATAGGACGAACAAGTGAATCCGAGATTATTAATATAATATTAAGTTGCAGTGGTTGTATAGTGTATACGTATATACTATATTGTTATATAATATATACATCTCAGTTTTGTGCACATGATGTGGCCCACGTACGAGAATTTTAACGGTTTTGTATCAGATAACTCAGTAACTTAACCAAGCTATTATAGGATATAGAATATATGAAGCACACGTTTAGGAACGGAAATTTAAATTTTTATTTTATTTAAATTAATTAATACCGATCACGAAAAACTATACATTTTAAAAAAAGTGGTATAAATATAATGAATGCCCCACCCCCTCCCCACCAACACTGTCAACACCACACATACCCTGCGTGCGCTACAACTGCAGTGTAAAGGATTGAAGAACATAATAATATCATTATAATATGCGGTCCTCGCAGCTATAGCCCATTTGGTTCCTGTTTAATAAAACGATCAATTCCCAATACTCCCGTTTTTGACGACACAAAATCCTAAATCTATTTTTAAATATATTATATAATATGCGAAGTAAATGACACAAATTTAGGTTACATACCTAACAATCTTTAGGTATTATTAGTCATAAATTAAAAACGTGTTTTTTTTAAATTCCATACCTTATAGTAAAGAATTTTTGTGGTCGAATACCGGGCCGTTTGGAAATAAATATTACGCATTCGTGAAACCTATTTCGGCGGGAGACGTTTGGATTGCACTGGTTGTTGCCTTTAGCGGATAAAACGGATCCGGAAAAGACACGCGGATGGCGTTATAGAAATCTGCGATTGATACTGAAAACGAATCTTTACCCTGCAGCTATTAGGATTTAAATGTTTTTTTTTTTCTTTAAATCAATCGATATCGATCGCGGAAAACTATGATTAAATTATTTGCGATTTTAAAAAAAATGCACTTATAATTAATACAATCGATATAATATCCTATGACGACCAATAATGCCTCCCTCCCTGACCACCAACACTGCACATGCCCTGCGTGCAGGGTGGTTGACGGACACAAATACACAATTATATACTTATAATATGTTATTGTTTGACATTAAATTCAGTCCTCTCACCTCTTGCGGATAGAACGGAGCCTGCAACGATACGCAGATGGCGTTACAAAAGTCGGCGATACTGAAAACGATTAACGTCAACCACTGTCGTTTGCTGAAATTTGATATGCGTAGCATATTAAACGCGGACGGTCCACTACCACGTAGATGCGCCGATGATGATGCTGCTGTTGCACTGCCGAAACCGACAGAGCTTTTGTCGTCGTCGTGGTCGACGAGTTAAGATATGATAATATGACCGTCGATCACAGTCGTCGATCGCAGGGTTCGAGAGAGCAGACTGGGAGACAGATTTTCATTCGGTTCCTGTGCGTGTGATTCGTGTCACATGATTGTTGTTGGCCAGCGGATCTGTACAATACAATAATATTATTAAGGTATAAATACAATAATATTATACAATCGATACAAGAACAAAACGTTTAATGAAACAAACCGATCCCGACAGTGATAAATAATTAAACGCACCGAAAAATAGACATATATATATATATATATGTGTGTATAATACGAATATGGATATATTTGTAAAAAAAAAAATTAGAAAACCGTTGACGGGGTCGGTGACTTGGCGGCCCGATCGTATCAATATGTAAATACATTATAATAGGTACCGCAATTATTGTGTAATGTAAGTATATCATGAACATTACGGATTTATGGTATTATTATTATAACCAGTCAGTCAGATGTGACGATTGGCACGTAGATTTTTCAGCAAAATATAACTGTTCGGACCTCGTTGGGGGAAAACCTCTTCATAGACGAAAAAGAAAAATTAGAAAATACTGCTTTTCCGATATTTTCGTGTGTGGCGCGTAGTCTTATCACACACAATATATTTTAAAATAATTATTGTGCATCCATAATCGGTGACCCGAGCAGCACGCAGATGACCCACCGAACGCTCGTGCGTATTCTGGCCCGAGCACGTCATATTATGCACGTTATCATCGTCACTATCGCTTGCGATTGAATTATATATTATTATTGTTCAGACTTAAAAATATTGATATTTGTTTGATTTTTCCCCCGCAAAATCTTTTCATTCATCCGTTGATAACACCGTATAATGTACGCGTAAACGTATATTATAATACCTACTTACATAATGTCGTGTCTGCATGTAGATTTCTCATTTTAGGGGATGATGGCCTACGGGTTCGAATGTGCAACTCGCACTGGCCACGTGCATTCGGATACTGTACAGCTGTCGGTGGTGTTATTACTATTATTATTAATACGCCCGGGCGAAACGATAATATTTTACGGTTTAAGCGGAGATAAGCTAAGAAATCGTATAAACGAATAACGACGTATCGAAAAGCGAAATACACATATATATATATATATATGTATTATATTATACTTGATAAGATGTAGGTACGCGTGACAACTGCACACGAGTATAATACCCACCGATCGCCGACGATGCCATGATTACCGACATGAGTGCTATCGAATCACACTCGACAAGTACGAAGCCGTCAAAATAACATAATACAATATTATTATAATAACAACGTGTCCGCATAGTGATAGGTACATCGTTGGGCGAAGAGTGCCTAAGTGCGTTCGAAATTTTTATAGGACGTGTCCGATCAGACCGAAATTATAGTTTCGTCGGGGGTTATGCCAGCGGTCGCAGTGTGTCAAACGTGAATTTTAAAATAAAATATTGTTTAGACTTACTTATATCTGGCAGAATCGATATTCGTGTGAACCGCATGCGGTGGTGGCGACAAATCCGACGTGTGACAGCAGCAATGCGTAAGACCAGCTATATGAAAAAATATGCTAAAATGGTTTTTGAAATTCACTCCTGGACGAGTGGTGACGAAGACAGACGGATATGTAGGTGTAGCGTGGTGTTAACAATTATTATAATGACCACAGGTAAAATGAACAATACTAATATATAGTGTCGCTAACGTGATGGACCAACGTGCTTTTTGTGTCAATGATCAACGTGCACCGCGTTATTGGCGTTTAATAAATAAAATATTATTATTATAATAATAATTATACCGAACAAACACACGGCACACAACCAGACCAGAGGTGAATCCGCGTGTACGTATAATAATATTAATGTTATATCGCCGAGACTGTTATCTGCTCGCTCTGCAGGGGTAGCCAAGGTGGGGGTATTGGATTCGTTGTTGAATGTGTACCTACCTGCCTCCTATATAATATACCAATAATGCGTACGTTTTCATGGTTATCATTGAATTTTATTATTATATGTGACCAAAGTTCGATGTAGGTCCATAGGAGTGTACCTATGTATATAATTATGTCTTGCGTATATTATCACCTATTAGATAATGCGGTGTACACAGTTGTTAGTGTACGACTAAATGTGTATAGATAGAAATCGAGTATCACTATTTGTTGAGGGAGGGAAGGGGTACGAGTTCATGAGAAATTATAAAATATGTTTTTTCCAGCAAAAATATTTAACACTTTTAATAAGGAAAAATTCTAAGTACTTTTCTTTGGACGATATTCATAAGGAAAAATGTTCAATCGTTTTTTTTAGAAACTCTAAACCCCCTCGAGCTTACCTCAAACATCGATTTTCAATGGGTTACATCGTACCTAATTATTATGACGTACAAACCCTAGAGAAACTGACATCATTTTTCGTGTAGATATAATAATATTATATTATACAAAAGAAACTAAAAATAGTCTGCAGAATTATGTGCATATATAAGGTCTTATCGCCCAAAGGCCATCGCGTCGTATGCGATATCATACCATAGGATAGTATTATAGGATTTCAGATGATACAAATTTTGGTATTTTAATGTCGAACGGATATTATGTGGGTGTATAATATAATAATAATATAATAGTATACTGGTAGGTTAATCGTATATATTATTATTTGTTAGAAAATAGTCTCTTGGGAATTTGCTAATATAATGAGGGTTTTTTTACGAATTCTAGATATGATATTATTTTAACGAACGAAAATGCATAAAGGTATTTTTTTTCTACAATACCCCGGTTTTGGATTATCCAAATATACTATTTAAGTGTCTATAATTGTATTGTCATTGTTTGGAAAGAAAATGTGAAAAGATGAATATACGTTTACTCCAGTGGTAAATTCGTATTATATATGATATTGACTATTGTTATACTTTTACTTGATAATGTCAGTTAAAAAACTGACTAATTTGTATAACTTAAAGATAACATACCATAATGATTTATGCTTATTTTTTTAACCAAGCTGAATGGGTCAAAATGATTTTATTATAGGTATATGAAAGAGGAATAAGCTACTGAAATAATATTACGCAGTAAGACAATATTATACAGAGCGATTCATCAAGCCTTTTCATCCCTTATTACAACCCCTTTTTATCCTTTAATAATGTATTTATTCAAATACTGATTTTATGGAATTTTTGAATATAGTTAATACTTTATATAATTTAAGCCAGGGGTCCTAACTAGGGATTGTAGAAAGGGCCTAAAAATATTAATTTTGAAAATTATTTTGGGACCTGAGTTATATACTGATTGACATAATGATGATAAATCATTATCAATTTTATAAACAATTTATACAAATCATTAAATGTATTAACATAATAATAATTATATTAAGAAAATCATTTTTGTATTACTGTATTTATTTATTATTTGACTAGTTGATTTCGTGTGATTTTGACGTTGATGGACGGAATTTCTCTGTTTTTTTGTAAAAGTTATTCCATATAATAGAACCACGAAAATATGTATTTTTAATTTTTTCATCCTTTAGAATTAGACATTAGTCAGTAACCTTCAATTACTAATTTTACTTTAGTATAGGCCGCACTTAATTAATTGGGAATAGGGAATATATAATATAGGAATAGGAAATATTATAACAAAAAAAGGGTATACAGCTGAGCTTGAATACTTTTTACGATTTAGTATTGTAAAGTTTTAATTGTTTTAATTTATAATAATATGAGGTTTTAAAATACACTCGAAAAATATGATCCAAATAAAAATAATAATAGTCAATGTATAAACTCACAAGATTCTTCGACTAATTTACTTTTCTCAAAAAAAAAAGATAATAAATCACTACAACGCGTTAGCTTTTTAAATTGTGTGATATTATGATATTGCGGGAGATGGAAATCATTAAACTTGCTTGTTTCACAATTTTCAAACAATTGGTCCATGTGATAACAATGATGATTACATAACATTAAATCAAATATTATTAATTATTAATAAGAATTTCATTGAATAGGAAAATCAAAGATGTACTATCTTTTACGTTTTACACAGTTTTTATCGTATAAGGCCAATATTCAATAGTATGCAGTAGGTACAAATGTACAAAATATTATGTTCTATGCGTGATAATATAATATGGTACCTATAATAACGGTAACTTAGTACATTACAAAATACATTTGGGCATTTTGCTGATGTAAAATATTATTAATCATAATTTGTATGTTGTTTGTACAAATATTTCATATTTTCGAACAAAAGAAGAAATGTACATGATAATATAGTATGTAATTGAACATTTTTTTTATTAATTTATCAATAGGTTTAATGTAGTATCGATAGCCACAATTTATTAATAGTAGGTACATAATATTATATCATTCGCTTGTTATTCAGAGACACAAGTTGAGTATGATATCATAATTTTGACATAATATAATAGTTTCAAACAGTATAACATTTTGATCTTGTTCTCTTATCAGCTTAATACTAATATACCTACACTGTTTCAATAAATTTATACGGATTGTTGTAATAATAATAATCACAAAAAGGTTGTTACGTTTTAATTATAATACGTTGACTTTAATACTTTATTATTCTAAGTTATTTCCGTAGTCATCACTCATCGTGGCTCATCAGGTAACTTTTTTGCACTAATATTTCAAAATAACTAATGTGAAAGTACCCCGCTGGGATGCCCTCGTATTAAAATATCTAACGGCTTTTTCGTGTTTTCTAACGTTTTACATTAATTATGCTTAAAGTTAATTTACATAAAAGATTGTATATATACGAGTATAAAAAGAAGAATAAATCATAATTCACAAGGGGTCAATATAATATAAATTTATTTTCTGGATTGT